TCGGCCCTGGGTCGAAGCTAGCTGCTTCGAAGGAAACCTTTTTCCTTGTGGATCGAAGCATGCAGAAGGAAGGAGTTGCCTTATGGATCGAAGGAGGCACAAAGGATGCTATTGTCATATGGATCGAAGGAGGCATGAAGGATACCAAAGTCCAATCGAAGCCTTGTGAATTGAAGTAAACTTGTTTTTTCTCCAATTTTGTCAAAAAGATTATTTTTATCTGCTTTTCCCTTTTTTAACAGTTTCCTCTTTAACTTGATGCTGGAAAATCCAATTGTACTTGTGCAAGCTTGAATTTTTTAGAATCCTTGTGAGAAATGCCTTGAGAAATGAGAGGGAAAATTTTGGGGTACAACAGATGGTTCAACATTTTGTCAAGCAAATGCAGTCTGAATTTGAAATGAGTCTTGTTGGTGAATTAACCTATTTTCTTGGTCTGCAAGTTAAACAAATGGAAGACTTCATATTTTCATCTTAGAGCAAGTATGCCAAGAATATAGTGAAAAAGTTTGAGATGGATAATGTCAGTCACAAAAGAACCCATGCTCCCACACATCTGAAGTTGACTAAAGATGAAAAAGGAGTAAGTGTAGATCAAAGTCTCTACAAAAGCATGATAGACAGACTTCTATATCTCACAGCTAGCAGACCAGACATTGCCTTTGTTGTAGAGGTTTGTGCAAGATATCAAGTTGATCCTAAAATTAGCCATGCCAACCAAGTGACTATGGTATGTTGTACTCTCATGGATCAAATTCTGCCTTACCTGGTTTTTGTGATGTTGATTGGGCAGGAAGTGTTGATGATAGAAAGAGTTCATCAGGAGGATGCTTCTTTCTGGGAAATAATCTCATATCTTGGTTCAGCAAGAAGAAAATTGTGTCCACTGCTGAGGCTGAGTACATTGTTGCAGGAAGCAGTTGTTCTCAATTTGTTTGGATGAAACAAATGTTAACAGAATACAATGTCAAACAAGATGTCATGACATTATTCTGTGACAGTTTAAGCGCCATAAACATTTCAAAGAATCCCATTCAACACAGCAGGACCAAGCATATTAACAACCATCATCACTTCATAAGAGAGCTTGTTGAAGAAAAGATTGTTGTCTTAGAAAATGTAGCCACTGAATTGCAACTGGCTGACATCTTCACAAAGGCTTTGGATGCTAATCAATTTGAGAATTTAAGAGGAAAATTAGGGATCTGTTTATATGAGGGTTTGTAGCAATTAAAAGTGTGTGGGAATATTATTAAAGTGATATTGTATTATTTGTGTTTCCAATAAATAAATTTTAGAAAGCAATCATTACAAGACTGCCTCAAATTGTTTCCCACACGCTACGATAATTCTTCTTTCTACTTCACAAACTCTTCATTCTCTTTCACAGAAAAAGGACCCTTACCATTCTTCATCTCCTTGCTAGAAATTTTTCAAACAAGTCTCAACATCACACATCGTCTTCTTCAAAATCTGCAAATGAAAATCCTTTCCTTGACAGAGTACTAGATGTTACTCCTCTATCAGCGATCCTTCCGCTTGAGAAAAAGGTCAAGAAACCTAGATCATCACCAGCTAAGAAATCTAAAGATGATAAAGGTAACTCTTCTTCTGCTACTGACAATAGAACTGAGGAAGAAATTATTAATGTTGATAGAAGCATCAGAAGGCTTGTGGACAGAGTATTAAATGAAGGCTTTGTTGTGCATGGGATTTCTACTCCCCTTGCTTGCATGCCTCCTCCTGTTGACAAAGGAAGTAATCCTAAAAATGATGTTGTTGAATCATCCAAGAAAGATGTTGCTGAAAGCAAACTTGAGAAGCTTGCTACCCCTGTCCTAAAAGAAGTGGAAGAAGAAGATGTTGAGGAAAATGTTGAACAAAATATTGAAGAAAACTCTCTTTCTAAAGAAGATGTTGCTGCCTCCAAGGATAGAGAAGGTCACAATGCTGAGAATGTAGTCAATGTTGAAGAGTTGTCTGACAATGAGCTCATTACTAATGTGGTACCTGATATTGAAAGAAGGTTAAAATCCAGGAAAGTGAAGGATGCAAGTGTCACACCCTCTTCCAAAACAACCAAAAAGAAAATCATGTATGGACCCTCAAAGTCAGGAAGTAAAGTGGTTCCTCTCTCTACCAAAAGAAAAGCTAGACCTGTTAGCTCCACAGATGATGATGAGGATGCTGTAAAAAGATCCAAGAATAAGAAGAAAGTTGTGGTTGTTGAAGAAGTTGACTCAGACTATGATGTCGAGCAAGATGTTCAGGACATCTCTCCTATCAAAAAGTCTACAAACAAGAAGATTTATGTGAGGGTTCCTGATGCCCCACTTGACAACATCTCCTTCCACTCTGTTGGGAATGCTGAAAAGTGGAAGTATGTGTATCAAAGAAGGATTACCTTGGAGAGAGAACTAGGAGCTAGTGATTTGGAATGCAAAGAAATCATAGAGTTGATCTCTTATGTTGGACTGATGAAAACAGTTACCAGGTTTGCAAATTTCTATGAAACTCTTGCTAAGGAGTTTATTGTTAATATTCCGGTTGATTGTGCTGACCATAAGAGTAAGGAGTATAGAAAGGTTTTTGTTAGAGGAAAGTGTGTAGAATTTTCTCCTGCCATTATAAACAAATTTTTAGATAGGTCTGAAGATGTCTGTTGTGAACTGAAAGTAACAGATAATCAAGTGTGTAGAGCCATTACTGCTAATCAAGTAAGTGAGTGGCCAATGAAAAATAAGCTTCCTGTTAGCAAACTGAGTGTGAAATATGCAATTTTATATAGGATTGGAGCTGCAAATTGGGTTGCCACTAATCACACTTCAACCATCTCCATTGGTTTAGGAAAGTTCATTTATGATATTGGAAACCAAAAACTTTTTTATTATGGTACTTACATCTTTGATCAGACTATTAAGCATGCATGAACGTATACCATTAAAATGTCAATTGCTTTTCCTTCCCTCATTTGTGGAATTGTTCTTAATCCGCATCCTGGAATCCTAAATGGTAATGATGTTGTGTGCAAGAGGGAGTCTGCCTTGACACTTCATTTTAAGTTTTTTTCAGGAAAACATGTCCCAGACATTGTTTTGACATCTTCAACTTCTGAAAATAAGACTTCCATCAAGGATGAAATGATCAATGAATTAAGGGAAGTCTGCAAAGCAGATGTCTTGACATCTGCCTCCTGAATTGATCTCAGTCCAACATCAGTTTAAGTTTTATGTTTCCTGATTTTCAGCACTCTATAATTCAGAATTTGTGACTCACAGGCTACGAAAAATATGGAGGAATATTTTTCCAATTGGATGAATTTTATCTTAGCCTGTTTTTATGGAAATATTCAAAAGATTTGAATATTTAATTTTAAGCCCAAGCCCACAGTTGCGCATATATAAGGACTTGCTTCCTTATTCAAAGATAGGCAACTTTTGAAGAAGAATACTTTCTTTCTGAATAGAAGCCTAGGTTTTTTATACACTTTAAGTAGTAATTTAAATACTTGAGTTGTTATTTGGGTTGTTAATTGTGTATCATTCATAAGCTTTTAAGCATTGAATGATTGAAGTGTTTCAAACTTATTAATTTTGTTAAGTTCTTCACTGTAAGTGATTGAAGGGATTTGAGGATGGCATTATACCTAGGTAGAAGTTTAGTTTTGGTAGTGATTAAGTGATTAGATCGTAAACTGGTTGTTTACTGAGGGTCTATGAATTGATACTATTTTATGAACTTGTCCCTGTCTTGGTAGCCTCCAGAGTAGGTATTGTTGTACACTGAACTGGGTGAACAATCTCTTGTGTTTTTACTGCTTTTGATTTTACTGCACCTTACTTGCAAACAGATATTTGTGTCGTGACATCACATTCGACATCACATATCTGATACCAGAATTTCATAATTAATTCAGTCCATGTTTACTAATAAATCCTAGTTCTAAAGGAAGTTAGATTCTTTAGGAGGAAGTCTTATATTTTAGGATCATATTCTTTTATTCCGGTTCTATTGCTATGTAGTATTGGTTTTTGACTAATTCCTACTGTAAAAGCTATATAAGCCTGCTTTCACTTTCTAATGAATAACACAGCTTTCGCTCTCAATATTACTATTATTTCTAGTTCTAATAGTAGCAGCCTCTATAGTGTTCTTTCCACAGCGGCCAATCTCCGCTTCACTGAGCTATAGTGGGATAGCGCCTTTATTGGCCGCTATTGACTACATTGTTCAGGACAGAATTTAGCATGACTATTCTCTCACTAAGGCTAGGAAATCAATTTCTCCAAGACCTGAGTCTTTTTCTATGGGAATTAAGTAAAGGCTTATATATACTAGTCCAACGAGGTTTCACTGTATAATCCAAAAAAAAGTACTTAAAAGGCACATATTCGAGTTTGTATAATATATCATTTAAAAAAGTTATTATCATGCAGTAGGCATGAAAGTAAGTTAAACTAACAAAAACTAAATATTCAAATGGCTACAGATTCTACTTGAGGTTCCAAACCCAAGTGTCATGTAATCAGTGCTCTGCATTGGCCACCACCAAATTCTGATTTTCTGAAATCAAATAAAACTTGAGAAATTGATGGCATAGCTACCCCTCATCATGCTCTAAGGATGTCAACCACCCATTCCGAAGTTCTTTAACTAACAATCTGAGAATCAGTTTACCTCTCACTCAGTTAACCTCTGAATCACTTAACATACATAAGAGAGTACTACTCCTATATACATGTTTGTAAAATAGATTATTCAAAATTTGAAAGCTAGGGTTATGCATTAGGTATCAAAGAAAGTCAGGCTGAACGTATTAAACATTAAAGTCTTGTAATCACGTACATGATACGCGTCCAACACAACACGGTATTTAATTATTATTATTACAAACGTGAGTACTAGTATCAAATTCTTGCTTACAAAACAACGCATTTGTTGAATTGATTAGTGGAACTATATACCCGAGCAAAGACTTGGCAAAGGTTACAACAAGCAAGTCAAAATTTAATGGCCGTTTCCACAATTTTTTCAATAAGCTCATATTCGTACCTGCAAAAGTTCAGGGCCTCAAAATTCAATCATACAAGTCTTTCATTTTCTTCTAAATAATACTCTGAATTGATTTAATCAAAATAATAGTAAAACTAACTTTGACTAGTAATTATATTATTAACAACTATGTACTTGCAAAGATAGCCATTATTAGTTAATAATTATAAAAATTAGTCAAAAAAAAAATAATTAAGTATACTATGTACCCGTATTTGAGGTGCCATCCTTTTAAGTTTGCTACTTCAAACAAAGCCGATCGCCAAATTTTCACCTTCTCTGAGTCCTTTCCATATTTATCTTCATGTTCATTCATAGCTTTTTCATAACTATTTTTCTGATGTCTAATGTCTGTTGGTTCCACTTTGTAAAAAATAGGCCAAACTAGTAATTGGTTGTTGTTTTTCACAAATTCAAGGATGGTGACAAGTTCATCAAGACACGAGGAAGAATACGCAAAGTTTTTAGAGAGAATGATGATTGAAAGCCTTGATTTTTCAAGTGTTGTTGTAACAAGAGAATGTGAACTTTGGGCCCCCTTCTCTTTACATCCATTATCATTCATGAAGATTTTGAATCCCTCCTGATTTAAAGCATTGTAGAGATAACCACAAAAAGAGTAGCGGGTATCTTCTTCCTTATAACTAAGAAAAACATCGTAGCGGGGCATAATTCTGGAAACCCATTCCACGGCCTCTTGAATTATTTCATATTCGCACTTTTCTAGACACCTGTCAAATTAGTCCATGCGGTGTTTTTTTAAGACAGAAACTTTTTATTAGCTATCACATCTAGTACAAGGAGTGCAAGATAAAAACATGAACATATAGATAGTTCAAACAAATGAGAATGATGTAAGACCAACACACCAGAACAAGATATTAACTCAACATCAATGAATCCATCTAGGACAATCTGTTACCACATTCACTAACATCTAAACACGAAATTGTCAAAAAAATCTCAACATACAGGTCCTGCCATAATCTGATAATAAAGAGATAAATCAAAATCAAAATACAAGGAGACCTCCTTATCACACTAGAATAACCTGTTACATAACAGTACCGAAACCTCAGAGGTTGGCCTGTTGGTGAAGGTTTCAGTCCTGAGAGTGTGTTCCTTTCAAAGTCTCATGTTTGAATCTCGCTAGGTGTTAACAACCATTGTGTTGGGCCATTTCATACGGAGTGAGCTTTGCTTTGGTTTTAAATAGGCTCCTCGCTAGTGGACAGTGAGATTAGTCGCTTTGGATTTAGTCGGTCACAAGGCCAGATACCTACCTACTCAAAAACACGTTGGAGTACCGACTTCTCTGCTGCAAAAAAGTTCAGACTACGTGACTCAAACCTCTACTCCAGCCAAATTGATATGATAAACACAGCTGCTCCTATACATGACAATCTCAAACCAATAACTTATACTAGTTCCAATAAACTTCAAAGCTTTCAGTTGCAGACCTGCCCACCACAGAATGCATTCAAACTCCACTATTCAGGCATTCTAAAAGATGGCTAAGAGGATAAGAAAAGTCTCATCTTAGTTTTCAGTCATTTTCATGACAAAAGTTTAAAATATTCTACCCAAGCGTTATCCCTATTCTTAAAAATGTTTTCTCAATTTTAAGACACCTACAGAAGTTCAAAATCTTTTATTTCATTCTTCACAAGTTTCCGACTTAGCCTAAGCCTAATCTGCTAATGGATATCATTACAACAGAAAATATGGTGATTTCATCAACACTGTATGATGCGGATCAGTGAAATCACACCCTGGGCAATGCAGCGGACACAAGAACTATAGAGTTTTTCCTATAAATAGTCACATGTGACTCAGGTTATAATTGTGATACACACTCTAAACCCTAAAAGTCTCACGCTCTCGATTACAGATTGAGTTGATCCTCGAGTATTTGCTACTTCAATACGATATGATATAATAATGTAATCAAGGAAACCTTTTGATACTATCCTAATCAATTGAATGGCTTTTATATAACTTAAGCTAATAAAGAATATTTAATAGAAGTGTGAAAAGAATGATAGGAAATAGAGAATTAGTGTACCGGTTTCTGAAATTCCATTCCCGTAAGCTGGCGACTTCACGCAAAGCTGACCTCCATATTTGCACCTTCTCCAATCCATGTCTATGTTCATGACCAGCAAGGCTTTCGCCATAACTATGTATTTGGTGTCTTACAACAGAAGGCTCAACATCATAAAAGATTGGGAAAACCAGTAGGTTATTCCTCTGTCTGCACTCGAGTATCTTGACAAGTTCATCAAGACAGAATGAAGAAGATGCATAATTTTCTGAGAAAACAACAATTGCAATCCTTGACCTTTCCAATACTCTGAGAGTAGAGGTTGAAATTTTGTATCCACTCTTGAGGCTGTTGTTATCCTCCATGAAGGTTTTGAATCTCTTGCTGCGCAAAGCATTAAACAGATTACCCGTGAAGCTCCTTCGGGTATCCTGTCCTCTATAACTGAGAAAAACATCGTATAGTTGTTCATGTTCATGAATTCTGGAACTGCTATTACTTTCTTCATTCGCCATCATATACCATATAATATTAATATGAAACAAGTAGAAGATTATTTACTCCCTCCTTCCCAAATTATAAGTATTCCTATGATTTGACCATGGAACTCTGGTGGGGCCAACACGGTTTTGCTTAATTTCCTTGTAGATGAGTTGGTCTTTACATGATTGACCATTTAAAAAAACTCGGACTTCACTTAAGGGATTGATTGGTCCTTAAAATCCATGTTTAGAAAATAAAATATAAAATTATAAAATATTTTTAAAATTTAATTAACATAATAAAGGGATATAATAGACTAATGGGTTAACAATCAATTCGCCCATGTTCCTTGGGCGAGTTTTGATAAATCGTATGTAAAAGAAAAAAAAATAATTTCCACTCTGTCATTTGAAGATTCCTTTAATTTCGTTCCTGAACAGACCAACTCATCAGAAATGCTTATGTGGTACTAATTTTTTTCATTTTTCATTTAATTTATATTCCACATGTGTAAGTGATCTATGGAAATGACAATTATACCCTTAGTTATCCATCTTCTTCATCTTTCCTCTCCTATTTTGTTGCTACATTGATGAATTCTAATTACAGAAAATCAAATCCCTAAAAATCAGAAAAACCCCAAATCCCTAAAAGATCAGAAAAATCCTAAATAATAACATCGTCAATTTACAACCAACTAATCCTAACACTACCTATACCATTAAACCTTCATGAGCTCTCAATACACATACAAAACTGCAAACAAACACATCATCATCAACAATATCACAAATCAGGGTCGAATATGGAGCAAACTGAATCGAAGAAAGAACGAAACTGATTCGTATAGCCAAGCCTCCGATGGAACTCGTCAGTCCACTCTCTTTTGACCCTTTGTTCGTCATCATCGATAACTAATACCACATACTTTCTTCTCCACATTCTCAGCGTGAAACATCAAACAACCAGCTCCCACTGATGTGACATTCGCACTCATTTCCTCCTCTTCTCCTTCCAACAACACATCAAATTTGCTGATGATTTCCTCCCTGTTCCGTCGCTGGCCATCTTCACCATTGACCTACCACGGAACAAGCTCCTCTATTTTTCTACCTATCTCCCTCATACCACACTCTCCTCTACTCATCACCCCATATCAACTTCAACCTTCGAACAACAAACTGGCACTAAACCTCCTTGTTTCTATCGAATCTTATCAACTAGTGTTTTGGGGTTTCAAAACCCGATCTAGAACACTCAGTTAGGTTTTGGATTAATTTGAGCTTGTATCCATGATCAAGGGTTAAAGTTTGGGGTGTTTATGATGAGCGTTTTTGGTTTTAGGTTTTTTCCGGTAGAGTTCCACCAGACCACTAGCCACTTCGTCTTCTCCAGTGACGAAGGTGTTGATCATTGTTTTGTTTTCTGCAGAGAGTAGAGAGAGATGAGAGAGTGTTAGAGACAAAAGAGGGAGTGGGTATAATTGTCATTTTCATAGGTAAGTTACACACATGGAATATAAATCAAATGAAAAAAAATCAGTGTCACGTAAGCATTTTGGATGAGTTGGCCTGTTTATGAGGGAAATTAAGGGAATCTTCAAATGACAGGGTGGAAATCTAATTTTTTTTTACATGGGATTTTATCAAAACTCACCCAAATGGCAGGGGGCGAACTGACTATTAGCCCTAGAATAATTAGATTAGATGCATTTTCAAACAATTTTAAAGTGTCATGCATACAAATTAATTTCATAATTATAAGACTTAGGCATATTCTCTTATGTTTGTACTTAGGCATTTCTCTAGTTTGATTTGTTTATTTTACTATTTTATCATGTTTTTAGAATTAAGTATTTGTTTGCCTTTAATCTATTTTCGTATGTTATTTTCAGTTTTAGAGGTTATTTGATACATATCCATTATTCATATCATAACTGAAGTATGGGGTGCTGTTTTGCGTGTTTTGATATGCGCTGGAAAGCTAAGAGAAAGAGTTACAACTTTCATGTTGAAGTCAAAAGTTGATTCGGAATTCAGGAGTCTCTCATAATTCGTTGAAGTTTCAGGCTTTAGAAAATAATTAGTTTTGGGCCATTTTTTGGCCGATTTTATGTTTTCAACCCAGTTTGAATTAGAAGTGAAATCCTTATGTTGTTTCAGCGGCGATATTGTATCTACGTACGGTTCACGACCTCGTTTTACTGTTCACTAAAAATGATTTAGAAGCTTTGTAAGAATGTCGATGGAGAACTAATCCATCTTGTTGATTTGCTCAATTCAGGTTCCGACACCTTGAGATTATAATAATTTTAATTCAGTTTTTATTCCTTTCAATTTTATTTATTGATTCTTGCTTGCTTAATCCAAATTTCATATAGTATGTTGATTTAATTCGATGTTTGTATGTATGATCCTTGACTGTAATCATGTTAGCGTCTTCTTAATTCGTTATCGTGTATGATCAATTCGTATTTGCTTAATTCATGAGAGCTTAAATATGTTTGCTTAATTCGGATAATAGGATCTTACATCACACAATATCAATTGCGCTTGTCAATGAATTTATAATCGAATAGAAATAAAAATTTAGCATAGGAGATTGGATTTATATTAACTGATGATAGGTAGGAACCGAATCAGCAGATTAACTTTTCAGCTTATTTCGATAATCACTTATTTACTCTGTTTTCTTATTTAAATCCTAAACTAAAACAAACCCACCATAATGGCTTCAGTTGGTTAATAAAACCAAGAATCCTTGCGATACGATACTAGAGTCATTGTTAGGGATGTCAACTTGCCTTCGTTAGCGGGGATACCCGTGGGGATTCCCCGATTGGAGCCCCAAAGACGAGGAATTTTTCCCCTGCGGGGACGGGGGTGGCGTAAATATTCCCTGTCCCGTGGAATCCCCGCCCCGCCTAGAATACCATAATATCCTTAATTTATATATAATTTTTGAATCTTTATGTAGGTATTGAATTAGGAGAGATGTTTAGGTTAAACCGTGTGTTGAATAACACAGCGGAAAATGATATGTAAAGAGAAAATTACATATCAACAGTATTAATTACATACTAAAAATATATTGATCCTATCCTAGAATATACTAGGGAATATTGTAGAGAATATTATTATTATGTATACAAATATCAACACTCCCCTTCAAGCTTGAGCATATAAATCAAATGCACTAAGCTTGTTACATATATAGTTGGTTCTGGGGATTCGTAGAGATTTTGTAAACACATCGGCCAATTGGTCATTAGAGTTGACAAATATTATAGAGATGTCGTCTGATTCGATCTTCTCTCTGACAAAGTGGCAGTCTATCTCAATATGTTTGGTCCTCTCGTGGAAGACCAGATTTGAAGCAATGTGTAATACAACTTGATTATCACAAGTAAGTGTCATTGGTTTTGCATCTTCAATTCGAAGTTCCTTGACCAATTATTTTAACCAAATAAGTTCACAAGTTTCCATTGCCATGGACCTATATTCTGCCTCAGCGCTTGATCTGGCAACAACATTTTGTTTCTTACTTTTCCAAGATATGAGGTTTCCTCCAACAAAGACACAATACCCCAAGGTGGATCTTCTATCAATGGGTGATCCTTCCCAATCAGCATCGAAGTATCCAACTATCTGAGTATGTCCTTTGTTTTCATACACAAGACATTTTCATTGAGCACATTTGATCACTACTAAAAATAAGACATTTGGTTAAATGGTTTTACATCGGGCCTGGATTTGCAATGATGTGAAAAAAATGCGGGTGGCAGTTTAGTAATTAAAATGAAATTGTTATAAGGGTTTTTACATCGGTCCAGGCTTTCCACGGATGTAACATGTATTTGACAAAAATTCTATGGCAGTTTGGTAATTAAAAGGAAATTTTGTTATAAGGGTTTTTACCTCGGTCCAAGCTTTCCACTGATGTAAGATGTATTTATAAGGGTTTTTACCTCAGTCCAGGATTTCCACCGATGTAAGATGTTGAATATTGTTGAGCGTTTAATTAGGGTTAAATGGTGACCCTTGGAATCTTTTTAGAACAAAATTCAGCTCCCTCCCTTTTACCTTTTCCAGCGCTACAAATTCAATCTCTTTCATTGTTCAACCTTTCAATCTTTGTCGTGCCTCCGCAACTCAAACACATTATTTTGACCTTTTTATCTCGTTCTAAATCTCTATCTCAAACTCTTTTCTTCCGATTTTTCTTTTTGCTTTTTGAATCTACAAAAACTATTGAAACCCTAGAATTTCAACATCCAATTAAACACTTGTGGAAACCTTTCAGAGCTCAATTTCATGGGGTTATGGATTTGAACTGTACGGACCATAGATTGGTGAAAGAAAATGGTGAAGATGATGAAAAAGCGGGGAAGTTCACGTTTACTCTCGAAACGATGATTTGCTTCGGTTATCGCCGTGACTAGAACGAAGGTGAGAAAGTTAAGGAAATATGGAGACCTCAGGTATGACGCTATTTCAGGTATAACAATTTCATCTCTCTGCACTCGATTCAACCCGCTTCATATTTCATCTTCCCGCTCCACCCTTAGTCGATTCTTCTATTTTGTTCTATTCACCACCAGCCTTCCATTCGCCGCTTTTTCCGTTAAGGTCGTCTTTCGATTCCTTTTCAAAAGATTTTTTTTGCATCCTAAGGTTGCTGATAGCCAACTCGTATCCTCTTAAACCTATAGCGTTCAAGTCACCCTTGTTATTTTTTTTAACTCTCGCATGTGTAAAAACTTTTTCCTTTAAATTTTTGTTTTCCATTATTGGTTTTATCACTTATTTTTCAGCTTTCTTCGTTTCTTGTATGTGAATAGATTGTTAGCCTTTGAGTTCTACGATATTGCTGCGCACGGATGGCCTCTGAGTTCTACGACATCACTGCCACATCGCCGACATTGACACAATCAGGTACTCTAAACTTTTGAATGAAATGGTAGTGAACATTTCAAAGATCATCAGAGATTGATTTGAGATATGAGTATGTCATGTGGTATATGTTGTTTGAT